TGAGTGAAACAAAAGACCTCAGTACAGGCACACCCAGTCCCCCAACCCCAAGTCTGCATGTACCAATACCCATACCTGCCACATCCTCAACCACTTAACTTACTCACACAATCATCTGACAACATGTTCGCAAACCCTCGTATCGCAACGCATGCACACATGCACGCACGCACACACACACACACACACACACACACACACACACACACACACACACATCACATTCTCCTTTCCCCACCATTATGTCTACGTCAGCCATCATGGATCCATGCGCATGCTTTCATACATAATCCATCCTCCTACCATTCCCCAACATCCATCGAACTATAACTATATCCGCCCTCATGTATCGGTATTCGTGCTTTCATACATACATACATCCCCCTACCATTCCCCTACATCCATCGCAGTATAACTATGACTATAACCGCCTTCGTGCATCTGCACTTATGTTCACATTGCATTGCATATGCATCGAATTACACGTTTAAAATATCGTAAATATTTTACAGCATGTACATATTATATATCAGCAAACAGAGATTATTATAACGCAATAGATTTCATCCGTCAAAACATCACAGAAAGAGGGGCAGCCTGGAATTTTACAATGGCATCTGAATGCACTAAGACGTTCAACTGGTCAGGAGGTGAGAGTTGCGGAAGATTACGATAAACTTCAGTTACAGATCTCCATTACGAATATCTAAAGTATGAATAAAGATCACAGCTTGCTATGACGTGTACTTCATTCCTGCAGAATTAGCAATGTCCTTAGCTTTAAATTGTATGTCTAAATGCTTATGTAGACAAAGACCCAAATGTATATAGGCATGACCATATTATAATCTACGCAAATATCACCACATTTAAAAACAAAGCTAGATTGAGTCTTTGAAGGGGAAAATGAACTGATACACACAAGGAAAAATATTTATGGATGTCAACGGAGGAACACTGCGTTTCGGAATATATACTTTCTCCTTCATCAGGTGCATATTATTAAATGCTATGAGGCAGAGAACATATATTTGTACCTGTAAGAACAACAAAAGTAAAAAGATAGCAAAGAAGGGAACGCAACAAGGGAAGCCAACAGATAACTGGCATGGCGCTGATTACCCCGCCTCCCGTTTGCCTATTGTCCATTTCCCATTACCAATCATTCATAAGTTAAGTTTTGGCTTTAATTTGTCCATTGATAATCAACCATCAACGTCTATTATCTCCACCCTAAAAATATGTAGTTTACTGAGAAAGTGGTATCCAAATATAATGTGTGTTACTGTTGACCACTTTCTTAAAGGCATTGTTGGTTCAAAGCTTTCGGTCATAGAAGCCGTGCCATTTTTCTCTTGTCAGAGGAGTACACAAAGTATACGTCATCTTGACTTACATTTTTGGTTCGGTGGCTGGGTTAGATCGCCAACTTTGTGTTCTGGCGATTGGGTGCCTCACTCACAGTGTGGGTTCAAATCCCGGACGGGACTCAACCCAAGAAAGTACGAGAATCTGTACTTTACTCAGAAAGTGTTATCCCAATTATAACATTTGTTGTCAAGAAAACACAATAAATGTATATTCGGCTTTGGATGGGTAATGATATCACAGACATATACGGATATTGATGATGACTTGGAGGAGTTTCGTAACGCACGTCTTCTCAATTCTGGGATTGGTAAATCCAAATATGTGTGTGCGCGTGCGTGCGTGCGTGCGTGCGTGCGTGCGTAAATGTGGGCCTGTTGGATGTTACATAAAACATTCATCTTGAGCGGGATGGTAGTTCGAGTTGGATTAGCATGTTAACTATATGATCTTCTTTAGGCAGAGAATGCCGCGCATGAATGTATTGATGAAATTTCTAGGTACATGGGGCCTTTTCGTTCCCAGGAATACCCACAGTGGAGACTTCAATGGGGATAGGGTGTACACAATGTGCTACCTGGTAGATTGTGTGTCATCAGACCGGACAACGTTGGTCTTTGACTGATTGTGGCGTAAAACGCACTTATTCATTTACTTATATCGGAAATTGAATGTTCATCTTAATTGTTATTGTTGAACATGTAATATATTTTTACAGAAATAAAACAGTGACATTATAACTACAACTTTATGTGAGCGCGAGTAGCTTTCTTGGAATGAGATGAATAAGTCTTATAAAGTTGTAGGCTTCTTCACAACCGTGTAACTATGAATTGACTGTATTGGGTAATCAAAAAAGAGATAGGACCTAAAATAGCCAAATTTCATACGATTTCACTTGGATCTTGGATGCAAGGCGAAAACATTTCAGCGCGTTTGAAGCCACTGAGAATGCCCCCTGCAGAGTTGGACGAACATTCTGCGGTGGCGCGGCTGAGTTGACCAGAGGCTATCAGCAGTATTTCCTGTCCAGGTTATTTAGGTCAGTTGTGTGTGTGTGTGTGTGTGTGTGTGTGTGTGTGTGTGTGTGCGTGTGTGTGTGTGTGTGTGTGTGTGTGTGTGTGTGTGTGTGTGTGTGTGTGTGTGTGTGTGTGTGTGTGTGTGTGTGTGTGTGCGTGCGTGTGTGCGTGTGTGTGTGTTTGCGTGCGTGCGTGCGTGCGGGGGGGGGGGGGGGGGGGGGGTTGGAGCGTTTGGGGGGAGATTGGGAGGATAGATGATAGATTTAGCAACAAGTAAGGTCATCTTGAGTGGGGGGTATTCCCAGATGGATTAGCATATGAACTATGATTCTCTTTAGGCAGAAAATGAGGATCCACGATGTTCGACCTGGTAGAAGTGTGTTATCAAACCTCACAGCATTGGTTTTTTGATTGACTGTAGCGTCAAAACAAACTCATTCATTTACTTGAACTGAATGTTCATCTTCATTGTTATGGATAGTCACGGAACCATGATCCAGAGTACAGGGTGTCATTAGGTAGAAATAAACTAAGTAATAATAGGATTACCAGAAAAAACGGGGTTTTACACACAAGCCAATAAACTTCGCTCATTAACACCAGAGTAAGTCAGTACAAGATTGAAAACTGCCCCATAATTATGTATGACATGCTTGTCGGGTATTGCTACATATATATGTGAAAACAAAGTTATTAAAATGAAGAGCAAAACTGATGAAAGTTAACAATAAACGTGTATACGTGTTATATCGTCACTGCAAAAATAATGATTGTTTGTCTTTAGTATGAACATTCAAATACGTTATATCTGTATTAGCGATATTGTCTTTGTTCCACCGGTGAGTCAGCGTTAGCCGTACTATCTCGTAGTATAATTGTTTTTCTGAAGACATCACGATACAGTTTTTACGATGCATCACGTCTGCACTAGCGCTTGATAACAGCCTTGTGTTTGGGTGTTTCAGCGGTTTAAATCGCTGCTCTTGATATTGTTGATTAAACTTTGATACTATGAACAATATAATGTTATGTGAGAGGTTGACTTTAGAATGGTAACATACTAATAGTATATAGGATGACATAAACAGAACAATGAGAAGTTCGTCCAGATTAGTGTATAGGCAACATTTAATAATTAAAATAATTACATTCAACAACTCCCCTTTTAAGTCCATTTTCCTGACTTATAAGTAAATGCAAGAACACAATCGGCCGGAATACAATGTATAGTTCTTGTCCACTTCCATATGACTATATAGCATACAATAAGCTATCGGGTCCCGTTTAGATCGGTTTGGGTGGCAGCCTAGATAGCCATAGAATAGTTTCATCTTGGAATCTCCCATATCACTGGGGATACTCTTCAATTTAAATGGAGTTACTCGTTACGATTCCGAACCTTCACGTGACTGTATTTATGAACCATTGTCAAATAGTGGTGACATTAAATCTAGGAAACAATACGCGAAATCGCGCATGCACAGAACGGAAAATTTGGTCAAGGCATTAAGTAATCCGCATGCGCAGAACGATTGATTTCAGTACTTCCGCTAAGCGCTTCGAGTGCTGCGTCAAACGCGGGCCTGTAATCTAACACGCGGGGACTGACCAATGAAAACCGAGAAGTAGAAATACCGGTAGACGCTGTTGCTTGATTGACAATGTCAATCAAGAAAGGGAGGAGCTTAACGTTATCGTTCTCTCCCAGTAAATTCCGATGTCAAATAACGACGTTATTTGGACGGAAAAACGATGGTTTGAAAACGTCCAAATAACGTCGTTTTCCCGTCCAATGACCATATACGGAAAAAAACGACGTTTTCGTGTTTGCAGTGTATCTTAGCCCTAATTGTTTCCTCAAAGATATTCTCGAGATCATGTATTCGATTGAAAGCTTAAGTTGGCTTAATATACATGTACAGTAAACTACGTTTATAACGAACTGATCGATATAACGAACTTAATTTTAGTCCCGACCATGTGTTGTATATATGTTGTATATATGCTTATAGCGAACTACGGTTATTACGAACTAAGATTAGTGGTCCCTTTGAGTTCGTTATAACCGTAGTTTACTGTATAACTTCACACCCCGGAAGAATTGTTATCTTTACGTATTGGATCATGAATGTTTGCCCTCTTTTGCCCAAACGATTTATCAAGATGGGTATCAGTGATACAAACAATCTGATTGTCTAATAGGTAGTATAATGTGTGTCTATTCAGGAATTGTATGTGTACAAACTCACACACTCACCCGCACACTCACACTCACACTCACACTCACACGCACACTCACTCACTCACTCACACACTGGGGCACGGGTGGCCAAGTCGTCTAAGGCGCCGCGATTCGCTGTGCAGAGTTGCGTCCCTTGGACACGCCAGAAACCTATGATTGTGGGTTCGAATCCCGGTTCGCCCCGATTATGTTTCTAGGTTTGTCAGCACCATACCCGTGCTCGTAGGTTTCACCGAAGTGGTAAACCTCTGAGACCTGCATCACTTCGGGCTTTCCTCCCACATTAAGCTGACACGCCGTGATATAACTAGAATACTGTTAAAAGCAGAGTGGAACACAACACACTCACTCATTCACTCCTGTAGACATACCCCTCGGTGTTGACAACGTCGGCCCCTAGCGGCATATAATCCCAGTACTCTTCCGCAGCAGCAATAAAGAACTGTCTGTCTCCAACTACCCCGGATGTGGTGACACACAGACAGACAAACATGGCCGCCAGCAGGTTCTCCATCCTGGTGTTGTCACTGCGTCAAGCCACCAAACAGTCTGCAACTGTAGGATGGCAAACCATGTACGCTAGAAACACATGCGTTATACATACAAAAAACATTGCAAGAAATATGATAGAGGTGGCCTTTTGGTTAAAGCGTTCGCCCGTCACGCCGAAAGCCGGGGTTCGATTCCCCACATGGATAAAAATGTGTGAAGCCCATTTCTGGGCTGTTGTTGATCTTTGCTGGAATGTTGCTGAAATTTGCTGAAAGCGACGTAATATCATACTCACTCACTCACTCACTCTATCACAGCAGAGAAAAATCAGTCACGATGGTCTGCCGAGACCGATTCAACTCTGGATAAAAGACAAATGTACAGATATAAGACCATGTGGTTTGCTTTCAGGGCCATTGACGACACATATAGAGCGGCAGCCCAGAGCACTTTGGTCAAACGAACAAGGTACCAATATCCGAACACAGGAACATTTACTGTGTAACCCAACATATTCATATATAGATGTCTGCCGGGGAGCCCCTGCTGCGTGTGGCCCCTGGCCCCCCAAAAGAAGGGGCCATTCAAGGGCTGGATCAAACATTGGAGGTACCACATGAAAGTAAGTGTAAATGAACTGTTACATCTCACAGAGTACAGAATGGGCCACGCCAGACAAATCTTCCTCTGCAAAAGGCCTGCCAGACACCCCCAAAGAGGTTCCCAAAATTTGGGCTGGGTTAACCATTGGAGGTACCACATGAAATAGACATAAAATGAACTATTTCACTCTACTAAGAATAAAAACCCCATTGCCAGACAAATCGTCTGCTGCATAAGGCCCGCCTGACACCCCCAAATGTTGACCCTTAATGCACTCAGTGGACACTCTGGTAAAATTTGACCAGAGTATACATTCAAAGTACCAGATGAAAGTAAGTTTAGATCAACAGGTACATGTTACTGAGTACAACACGGCCCATACCTGACAAATTGTCCTCTGCATAAGGTCCGCCAGACCCCCCAGAGAGGGTCCCAAAATTTGGGCTGGGTTAAACATTGGAGGTACCACATGAAACCAACATAAAATGAACAATTGCACTGTACTTATTGCACAATACCCATTGCCAGACAAATCATCTTCTGCATAAGGCCCGCCAGACACCCACAAAAAGTTGACCCTTCAGGTATACACGGGTAAAATTGGTCTGGAATATATATATCGATTGTACCACATAAAGGTACGTTTGAATGAACAGGTTCATATCACAGCGTACAGAATGGGCCACACCAGATAAATCTTCCTCTGCATAAGGCTTAAACATTGGAGGTATCACATGGAACCAACATAAAATGAACTATTACACTCGACTTATTACAAAATACCCATTGCCTGACAAATCCTCTTCTGCATAAGGCCCGCTAGACAGACCCTCACCCCACACAGTTGACCCTCTGTAATCCCAGTGTGCATAATGAAACATTGGACATCAGCTCTGAGAGTCAACAGATGGTCAAATTTATGTTTTGTTCTTAAAGATGGAAGGATTTTATTGAGATTAAAATCACGTATTTATAAAATCAGGTCTCTGAATACTATTATTGATATCATAGATTAGGCCTATCGTTGAAATGTAATAAAAAAAAGGCATGAATCTGATTCTTGTGAATATATATCTGATCAGCTATGAAGTCCTCAAAGCCTGCTATAGCCTGATAGCTTGGCTATGGATTCCTACAAACCCAAACATGCTTAGGTAGTCCTCAAAGCCTGCTATAAGAATGGTAAATGACAGTCCCTAATACCATTTGGAAATCTTTTGGTGATAATTGTGTTTAAAAACCTATGATCTCCGTTTATTTAGCAAGTTTTATCATCTAAAAAGCTGAATTCCGGCCAAATATTTCCATATTTATGGTCGGTCCCGAAAAGTTTATCGTATCGAGAAACCTAACAAAATCGTGGCACAGACCTATGTGAAAATATCAAGTTTGTCAGGTCACGGAAAGAGATGAACAGGGTTTGGTGACACGAAAAGATGAATGTTCTATTCTTGATGTATTTTCGTCCTGATCTTCACAACTTTTCTCGGAGTGTCACGGTTGGATACAAAATTATTTTTCTGTTCAAAAGAGAAGGGCCGTTACTGATATTCACCTCGTCGAAACTATCGCACCACCAAATGTGAAATGTAATTACCCATCATGTTTTATGATTTTGTTCTTGTTGTTAAATGTAAATGTATGTTCATAATGTGACATAGTTTTTATTTCAATACTCAAATATCTGTTATGAAACCTCCACTATATAACTAAATGTTCACAAGGCCTTACGTCTCAGATTTGCCATCTATCTGTTTGAATAAACGTCTTACACTAGACAGAGAGTCATGATATTGGCGCGTGAGCTGTGCCACGGCGTGAGCTGTGCTGTTTTTGAATACCCTCAATAAAGAAGGGAAAGCCATACACAGTGAATTTAACTTCTTTTTTCTGAGGTGTGTGACGAGCACGTCACTTCTCTCGTGAAATCGACATCAAGCTTCCCGGGAAAACTTTTCTTACCTCCCGGTAAAATGCCAAGAAAGGTTGCATTAACCTGATCCATTCAGGGTGTTTTCCACAACACAAAATTCTAAAAAAAAGCAAGTGTTGATCTGTCACGATTGACTGAATTTTTTATAAATTCCCATATAATTGTTACCATAGAGCTGTGTTTTCAAGCAAATGTGAATTCTTTTGTTAAAAGAAAAGCCGTTTCCAAACCACACCTAGCCTTTTCTTTTCTGCCAACCTCTGAATGCAAATATGAAATCTTAATAATAGTGCTACTGACGTTATAATCACAATATAACTTGAAGCATTTATCAAATCATAAAACACTTTGAACTGAATAAACATGATCATACATGAAGGTCGTAAGAAACCTTCCTTTGACACACCCTGGTTTGTCTTGGCATTGTAACTATCTTAATGGCGTAATTTCCCACTTGAACTAGAATTAACATGATCATACTTGCAGGTCATGAGAACCTGTTTCTTGGGCCCCCCTGGTTTGTATTGCAATTGTTATAATCTGAAGGCGCGACCCCCCAGTGTGGTACCTCAAATGTTTAACCCAGCCCAAATTTTGGGACCCTCTCTGGGGGGTCTGGCGGACCTTATGCAGAGGACAATTTGTCAGGTATGGGCCGTGTTGTACTCAGTAACATGTACCTGTTGATCTAAACTTACTTTCATCTGGTACTTTGAATGTATACTCTGGTCAAATTTTACCAGAGTGTCCACTGAGTGCATTAAGGGTCAACATTTGGGGGTGTCTGGCGGGCCTTATGCAGCAGACGATTTGTCTGGCAATGGGGTTTTTATTCTTAGTGGAGTGAAATAGTTCATTTTATGTTGATTTCATGTGGTACCTCCAATGTTTAACCCAGCCCAAATTTTGGGACCCTCTTTTGGGGTGTCTGGCAGGCCTTTTGCAGAGGAAGATTTGTCTGGCGTGGCCCATTCTGTACTCTGTGAGATGTAACAGTTCATTTACACTTACTTTCATGTGGTACCTCCAATGTTTGATCCAGCCCTTGAATGGCCCCTTCTTTTGGGGGGCCAGGGGCCATAGACAGCAGGGGCTCCCCGGCAGACATCCATATATGAATATGTTGGGTTACACAGTAAATGTTCCTGTGTTCGGATATTGGTACCTTGTTCGTTTGACCAAAGTGCTCTGGGCTGCCGGTCTAATACCCTGTACACGGTACTGGTTCGAATCCCCACATGGGTAGAATATGTGACGCCAAATCCGTTCTACCCCGGGTGCGGCTGAGTGAGAAAGATAGGTACTGTGTGTTTGAGTATTTGTATCAACCAGTACAACATTCAAAATCTTAATTCTGAGGGCGCACGGGTGGCCCAGTCGTTTAAGGCGCCGCGATTCGCTGCGCAGGGTTGCGTCCCTTTGGCAACATATGATTGTGGGTTCGAATCCGGTTCGCCCCAATTATGTTTATAGGTTTGTCAGCACCACACCCGTGCTCGTGGGTTTCACCGAAGTCTGATACCTACATCACTTCCGATTTTCCTCCTACATCAAGTTGACACGCCGTGATATAACTGGAATACTGTTTAAAAAGGAGTTAACCCCAACTCACTCACTCTAAATTCTTAATTCTGAATACTTACGATTTGTGAATGCAAAACGGACTTATTTCTCACGAAACACCTGCTTCACGCCCCCGGCACGTCAATGTTAAGTACTATCGCGCGATTATGACCCATGTGTTGACCCCAATACCGTATCTGCTTGTATAACGCTCTCTAATTTATAATGTTTTTATCTCACGAACGCAAAGGTGTTCACCCAGTCGGCACGTATTACAACTGGAGTATGTGAGATGTTTAAGACGGGACGATGTACCCTTCTTGATATTTTGCCTATATCCAGGTCTTGACGTCAGTACTAAAGCATTGCTTCAATGGACTACTAAAGCATTGCTTTAAATAGACTACTAAAGCATTGTTTCAATGGACTAGTAAAGCATTGCTTCAATGGACTACTAAAGCATTGCTTCAATGGACTACTAAAGCATTGTTTCAATGGACTACTAAAACATTGCTTCAATGGACTACTAAAGCATTGCTTCAATGGACAACTAAAGCATTGCTTCAAATAGACTACTAAAGCATTGGTTCAATTGACTACTAAAGCATTGCTTCAATGGACTACTAAAGCATTGCTTCAAATAGACTACTAAAGCATTGCTTCAAAGGCGTAATCATTAATGATTATCAGTCGAGTTGACTAACGAAGTAATGTGAATGAATCAAAGCTGTTGGGCTGCTAAGTTGCACTTTAAAAAAGTGTATGTTTAAAGAGAAACTATGCTATAAATTCAATTGCCCGCGGTTAATATATGCAATGAAGTCACCATCAATACCCTATGTGAAACAGACATTATCTTTCCGTTATAATGGTAATCATTTACTATAATCATAAAGTTTGAATTAACATATTTGCATTGTATGTTTTGAACACATGAATCCAATGTTTTTGGACACCCAAGATGCCTGTCCAGTCTCCCATAAATATCATACACAGTGTACATGTTTATCAATGACGTCAACGGTGTCACTGCCATTAATATTACTTTAAAATGTCATGTATTGTCAGAGCTCCAGATAAGCTTTTGGTGTTATGGGTATTTTACCCATGCATTTTAAAATCATTGGGTATCAGTAATTCTATCTGGGTATTCAAATTTCTGTTACCCACTTGTTTTTACACATGTGGGTATTTCAGTTAAATATTTAAAATCACTATTCATCTAGTCCCTGCAAACTGGTGTCGTGTAGGTTCGAGAGCTTTATAAGACTCAAAAATACCACGATACTTCCGCAAGAAAGTGTGATGGCAAATGATCATGATGTAACTGTCATCGTGGAGTTTGGCAAGGTTGATGGGATGCCTGTTTATAATTTCAAAATAAGTTCCTGATTTGCTAATCGAATGCGCAGGGTTACTTCACAATATTTTGATGATACGCACAAGTTTTATTTTTGTAGCGTATCTGTAACGTTCGTTGCGTATTTGATACACTTGGATTTTATTTTACTGCGTATTTCTGCATTTCTGATGAGTATTTTATGCAGATACGCAGCTTATCTGGAGCTCTGATTGTGAATGACAGTGACAGTTATATAAACCAGGCGTTTTCCCCGATAGTGGAGGGTCCCGGCTGTTCCGCTGACCTGACTTGTTTGTCAGTCATATAACACAGCTCCTTATGATCCAAGCTAATAATAACTTGTTTCCTGTTTGCATATTTATAGTTTTATTGATCATGACTTACTGACAGAAACAGCGCATAACACAAATACCCAGGGTTTATGAGGTGGTGAGCGAACACCGTACACACCGTCCTTGGTAAACACCGCCCATTCCGTCCAAGATAAAGTGATAGTTAGTTGAATACATATTCAAAATATGTATGAAGACACAAATGTAATTGTTTACTAAACGTAATTGGTATCTTTATGGTAATGAAAGCTCTTGACCCAACTCCATACTTTACCAAAACTTTTTAGCCGCGATTAACTACATGCTTTCGGATTAAGGTATCGGATTAAAGACTGGAAACCAGGAGAAATTATTTTCATCCATTGTGGATGAACGCTGAAGGCCATACAAAATAATATTTATTCCTTGGTAACACACACACACACACACACACACACACACACACACACACACACACACACACACACACACACACACACACACACACACACACACACACATACACACACACAGACACACACTTATATTCACATTTACAAAACTGTGATTGAATATTAATTAATATATATCATAATTTATCACACGTACAATAAAGGATATGTACATTTTTGTAGTGGAACTTACAAAATACACATACAGATAACGTACCACTCTGCTGTCTTGCATACGGGACTGGTCATTCATAATAGGGTGGGCCGATGAAATTAAGAGGGTTAGGGGATTGGGGTCATGCAAAAATGACAAAACGAAAGAGAAGAGGGTGGGTTCGCCAAATTTATCACACCTAGGGTGTGGGGTGGGGGAGCATGAAATATTGACACAGTTCCAATTAATAGAACATTTATACATTTGAGCATTATTGGGTACTGGTCATTTATGAAAAAAATGTCACATATATGGGGTGGATGGGGGAAGCATGAAACATGTTACATATAATGGGAGGTGCCCCCACCCCAACCCACCCCAACCCAACCCACCCCACCCAACCCTCAGTACTTAGATAACTACTTTAACTATCGAGCGTTTTGGATGAATGTATACAGGCAACACACAACCTCATAGAAGATATATCATTGATACTCACTATAAAGAGTTAATGCATTTAAGGGGCTATGCCTATATTCCCGTCACGTGTTATTATTGACTGCAGACGGTGCACATTGTGCATTATGTATGTTTAAATCCGTCAATCAAAAAGTATTGACATCGAATTTAATAAAACATACCTTCGTCTTGCCCGTCCCGTCCTCGCAACTGTCGACATGTGCTGATGAGAACGTCACCAAAGAGCACACAACATCTCGCCACCCGATTCACTCATCCGAGACATCACGAGACTGTAACCAGATCATGTGACGCACAATGAGAAAATCCGGGGATTCTTCCGCTATGAACATTTGATGCACTTCCCAACAAATCTACCTGATTATAACTGGCACTGATCAGGGAGGCTGCTTTGTGTGGCCCCGAGTTGATCTCAATGAAATCGTAAAGTGTAAAAAATAGTCCCACAGTCGAAACTAATGACAGAAGTTGAATGAACACATGGAGACCTTGTGGACATCGGCATACTGACATAATGGCGGCATGGTCGAGGAGGCCATCGGAACATGATGCTGTACTCATTGCATGAACATTGCATCAAATTATACATTTTTGCAAGGAGGAGGGAAGGTTGAGTGAGTGAGTTGGGTTTAACGCCGCTTTTAACAGTATTCTAGTTATATCGCGGCGTGTCAGCTTAATGTGGGAGGAAAGCCCGAAGTGATGCAGGTCTCAGACGTTTACCACTTCGGTGAAACCCACGAGCACGGGTATGGTGCTGACAAACATAGAAACATAATCTGGGCGAACCGGGACTCGAACCCACAATCATAGGTTTCTGGCTTGCCCAGGGGACGCAACTCTGCACAGCGAATCGAGGCGCCTTAGACGACTGGGCCACCGTGTTCCCGAGGAGGGAAGTGCATTGAACTGCAGATGTATACTCACCGACAAAATGTGAGGGGAGGTTTAATGCGTCGAAGAGTATTGTACTTACACTACTGCCTAAAAGTTCATTCCCCTTACACGCATGGGCAACGCGTTACGCAACCCGTTTGCACCCCGTTGGTCACTCGTGTGGAACCAGTCCGCCACGCGTGTGATACCCGTGTGCAACGCGTGTCACACTCATTAGAGGGGGAACAAACTTTTGACCAAAGGAGGACCCACAGGCATGTCTAGCTGAACCTGGAGGTGGTAACAAGGAGATAACTTTTTGATTTCCTGACGAAAAATGTTAATACACATTTTATTATATGTACTTGCTGATGTTTCATTTTTAGATGTGATTACATGGTGTCTTGCGATGGTGTTAAGAGAATACATGATCCTGTTACATGTTATTGCTATTCAAATGCTTTTTTATGATTTGACATTAAGCGTCTGTAGTACGACTTTCAGTGATCATGTTTATGAGGTTTGGTGGAGCATTGTTTTTATTGGACCCTAATTACTTTATGATGGTTGGGCCTCTTCGTCTCAGCTCCATAGCCGTGACGCTGGGAAAGGGCAGCATGTAATTAATGAGAGTAGAATATATCCTGGAGGATACACTTGAGGGAGAGGGCTATACTAATTACCGTACTACAGGAAGAGACCGTAGACGTGAGCACGGGGTTGTGTGTAAGATGGCCGTCGCATAATGGCCGCCAGGAGTGGTAAACATTGAGCTAAAGCAGTGTTGTTTTCACGGGCCTGTTGAATAAATTTCCAGCGCTGCTGTCCATATATCTTCTACTTGATCCTGGATACATCATTTTGGCATTTACATTATAATATTTTTCAACGTACATTAATGGTTTACTAGTCATATATTTTAGAGTATTTGTCAATTGTGTTGAACGTACAAGCAATAATTGTAATTTGTGGTGACATCTAAATTTAAACGTCTCATTTAAAACAATAAGTAAGTACGATAATAAATAATAATATTCAAATCGCATTAAAAGACAATGATAACAAGATTCATATGTAACCCTAAAGCCTGTGTTCCACATTCATAGCCAGGAGGACACCTACTGACTAAACAAAGGGAAAAAGCTTGCCCTTACATATATGTAGAGACATCATCTGAATATGACTATATATGCAAATGTTACGAAACTGTACCTATCTTCACGAATTATTAAAAAATGGGCATAAAGTTCACGGAGACGAAAGCTATAGATACAATACCATATTTTATTTTTTAGATGATAAAGTACATCATTTGATAATGAATTCAGTTATTGATATCTCAAAACCGATTTTCCATATTAATAAACATTTCATGATAAAACACAATCAAATTTGTGATATAAATTCATTCTTTAGTATCCATAAATGAATTATTGATATCATATAACGAATAAATAGTAAAAAGGCGCCCTATATATTGTTCTTTGTGGACTGTATTAAGTAACATCACGGCTATAATGTTAATTGCTAGTCTTTTTTCTGCACCATCATTTCATCATTTCTTTCATCTTATGAAAAACTGTTCAAAAATGGCAACTTATAATTAACCAAGGTAATAATACTTACCCGACCTGCGTTTATTTATCTCTCTGTCATTATTATCGTTAACATGTGTCTACTTTTAAGTGTATATACTTATGTCATACATCGTACTGGTTAAGGAATGACACATCATCGCGAGATATATGTACTCCATACACATGATTCTATAGCACAGAAAATCGTTACCCCGAGTTACTGTGTAACGGTTCACCCCTTGTTTTCAGGGTTTATGCACGCCAGAGCGACATTGGGGTGACAATGGTGTGACAAAAAGTGTTTTGAGCCATTGCGAGTTAGTGTTTTGGATTATATTGTTGTAGTTTTGAAGTTTTATAGACTTTTTAAATTTGTTCTTGATCTCCGCTTTGGAGGTATGGAAATAGATTTCTAATGAGGGTTGTTGGGTCGCTATATTGGATGCGATGTGTGCTGTGTTATTGCCTGGTATATTTGTGTGTCCCGGGGCCCAGAGTAGACTGATTTGTTTGTTGTTTTTGTTGTTGGTCTATTTGTATTCCTAGTCCTGTTTTTCCATTGGTTTGGGATGCGTCGGTGTAAATGTGAGTGTGTGTCGGCCAGTTAGTGTGGAGGTGTCTAAGGGTTGCTTCGGCCTTTTTTGCAGTTGGGGTGCCGGAGGTCGGCTATGTATTGTAGGGAGGGAGGTGTGTGTGATATATTGCTTAGATTGTGGGTGTGTATTAGCTTGTGTAGGTGGGTCATGTATGGGGCTATGATTTTATTTTGTTGTAGTTAGTAGTTGAAATGCCGCTTAGGACCGGAGCGGCGTAGTCGATTTTGGATTGAATAAGTGTTTTGTAGGAGGGTTTGTTTTTCAGACCCCCAATTGTTACCTTTAATAGCTCTCATTAAGTTTAAATCTTTTTCACAAGAGTTGACCAATTTTGATATATGGGGGCCCCATGTAAGGTGTTGGTCAAATGTAACCCCTGGGAACTTAGCTTCTTTTTGGTATGTAATTTCTTTGTCATTAAGGTGAAGTTTGGGTGTGTAATTTTGCATATATTGTTTTTTGAAGAGCATGCCAATGGTCTTTTTGGTGTTGATTTGGAATCCCCAGTTGGAAGCCCATTTTTGGATATTGTTTAAAGCAGATTGCATTCTGGTTTTATTTAAATTAATGGAGGCCGAGGTGGTGCGAATTTTGCTGTGGTATTTTTTTCTTCATTTTTGGAATCTGAGAAGATGTCATTTATCATAAAATTGAATAGTGTTGGCGATAAGATGCTTCCTTGTGGAGTACCGTTTTCAATGGGGTGTGTGTCGGATAGGGTTTCATGGGATTTAACGGTGATGTGTCTGTCTGTTAGGAGAGAGTGAATGAAGTTTAGTATTCTCCCATTGATATGATTGTTTTCGAGTTTTTTAAGGAGGCCGTTATGCCAAACCATGTCGAAAGCTTTGCTGAAATCTATAATGATGGCCAGGGTGTATTGTTTCATTGATTGCGCAGTCCTAATGTCTTCTTCTAGGTGTAGAATGCGGTCTAATGTTTGTCTGTTATTTGTGAAACCGCTCTGGTCTGGGCTTATTAGTCTGTTTATAGAGATGTGATGCTTAAGTCTATTATTGATAATTGATTCAAGGATTTTGCATATATGGGAGGTTAGAGTTATGGGGAGGAAACACCTGGTGGCACTTAACTGTTTAAAGAATTCTTGTATATCTTTTGTAATCGATCACTGTGATAATAACTTTTAGAATATATTGTCCAATGACATTTGATGACGGTGAATATTATGCACTGATTTTACGAGATATTTTGGGATTCGCACCTGGACTAGTTTGTCAAGATGCTCCGTGGTGTGCATAATTCAATCTAATAAACATCATATAAAGTAATCTAGGATGTCATTGATCAGATAGCGAATCCTGGTAGCTAGGGGACAAAACGTGTTTTAACATAAACAAATGGTTGAATGCTTGCTACTTTTATTCTCGAGTGAGTGGGTGAGCATGGATAATATTTTAGCCATATAGCGATGGAAACTAGGTACAGAAAAGTACGGTTATAACGAACTCAAACGGACTACTAATTTTAGTTCGTTATAAACCATAGTTCGTTATAATCATATATACAGCATAACTACAGCAAATAGTCGGGACCCAAAAGTAAGTTCGTTATATCCGTCAGTTCGTTATAAGCGTGTTCGTTTTAAACGAAGTTTACTGTATTAGGTTTAAAATATTTGTCGAAAAAAGGACAGTAAAATAGTAAGGTATATTACAGTTTCTGAATAAAAGAAATGAGATAATTTCTTTTAAAAAGAAATTATCTAGTGAATAATGCCGTATATTACTACTATAGTTAGCGAGTGAGTTGGGTTTAACGCCGCTTTAAACAGTACATCAGTAATATCAGGAAGTTATATGGTGAACATACGTGTGGACAACCTGGAAACGTAACCAGGGTGAACCGAGATTCGAACCCACGATCATAGGATCGCGTCATTCTAAACGGCATTTCTGACACAGACGAACCAACGTGAAAATCGAAGGCGAGATCAGTGCGTAAGGTCCGATCTTAGTGCCCCTCCCCGCGGAATAATGTTATACTGTGTTGCAATTATATTATGGTTGTGCAGGTGCCCTCAACAACACAGACCTCGCCCGCCACTACGCCTTGTACGTCACCACCGTGGACGAGTCCAAGAGCTGGTACGTCGACCACAACCTCGGACACTTCCCTCGCAACATCAGCAGCAGAGATGCGGACTTCAGATGGACTTCCTCAATCCATGCCATCAACGGCTACGTGTTCGGCAACCTCCCCGACATCACAGCATGTGTAGGGGAAACAGTCACGTGGCACATGGCCGGGCTAGGGTCAGTCCAGGATCTTCACTCGCTGTCCATCAGCGGTCATTCGTTTGAATACTGACCGCCTCCGTGGTCTTGTGGTAGAGCGTCCGCCCGGAGAGCGGAAGGTCCAGGGTTCGATCCCGGGCCGCGTCATACAAAAAGACGTTAAAAGATTGTACTTGTTGTTACCCTGTCTGGCGCTCGGCATTAAGGGGCTAAAACAAGGACTGGTCGGCTCGGAGTCAGTATACTGTGTCTGAGTGGGGTATTCATGTTAAACTGCGGCATGGTATCTCAGTGAGCTAGCACTATAAATCGGCATCAGTCCGGACTAGTACAAGCAGCCACACACACACATACACGTGCATGCACGTCGCTATATAAGTGCAATAATCTTGGACGCGACGTTAAACTCAATTTCACCTCACCTCACCTCACCGTTTGAATACTATCACCACAGGTGAGACATGTGTGCACTCCGAACAGATCCTACTGCCTCATGCTTGTCGCCGTCTTGAGATTCCTAAGTAGAATAAGGCCCGATGCTGGACTTCCTTGAATGTCTCCTGGTCAGACCCGTTCTCCACTGTCAATGCCTGTGTCTCCCCGTGGACATGCCTACCAAAGTCGACAAAGTTTTTAGAAAACGATGAGTAAGCAGCAGCTGGATTGAAATTCGTTGTTTTCTGAATGGTTTTAGTGTGCAAAATCTACTCATATTCCTGCTAGTCTATATTTTAGCGTCCAAAATAGACAAATAGCATATGTTTGTTTTGGAACGCACGGTATTTTTGTCCTGGTACGTGGAGGCCTCGTGGAGATACTGGAGCAATATTGGTCACCAGTATCTCATATTTGTCTTTACGTGGCGATTTCTGTGCAGAATAGGTCCCCGGTATCTCAGGCTTGTCTCCCTGTGTGGATTCCTGTGCAGGATAGGTGGCCAGTATCTCATGCTTGTCTCCCCGTAGCGATACCAGCGCAGAATAGGTCCCCAGTATCTCATGCTTGTCTCCCCGTTGCGATACCTGTACAGAATAGGTCCCCAGTATCTCATGCTTGTCCCCCCGTGGCGATGCAGAATAGGTCCCAAGTATCTCATGCTTGTCTCCCTGTGTGGATTCTTGTGCAGAATAGGTCCCAAGTATCTCATGCTTGTCTCCCTGTGGCGATACCTGTGCAGAATAGGTCCCCAGTATCTCATGCTTGTCTCCCCATGGGGATTACAGGACAGATTAGGTTCCCAGTTCCCAGTTGACATAAGTTTGAACGCGACTTTAAGCATAATTTCCCCTCAGCTCATTCATAGGTAATAACGGATTAGGGGCGTTACCCATGTTTCTGGCAAACTGTGTCTGTGTCGTTTGTTTCGAGAAGATCAGGGGTGGTGTGTCAGCATGGTACATTCTTGAGTCTCCAAGGCCGAACATAACTTTACTTTTACTATCACTAGAAGAAGTGTAAAATCACACTCAATAACTTATTCACTACATTCAGACGATAAAATGTTTTGAATTTTTTTGGAAAAAGTTTCGCAGTGAGTAATATGTACGTGTTATTATTTATATAAGTATGACAGTCTGTATCCAGGCAACTAGAGGAAGCCAACGTTCAGAGTTCACATGGAGTAGGATAAGTGACCGTCCAAAATCTTAAGTGTTTGGTGGACTTTTCAGCTACCAGTGAACTGGAACTGTGAACGGAGTAACATAGTTTATTGCAATAATATTGGCAAAAACATGTTTTTGTTTGCGACATTATGTTGCCATGGTCTAGGGCTGGGACGAGTCCAAATGTACTACCCGGGTACCCGACACCCTATTACCCGGCCCTACCCGGTTACCCGCTATAGGTCTCAAGAGTTGGGTACAAAATGTCCGAATCGGAATTGTTTTACCGCAGCCCTGGCAAAAACTATTTAGATACACGTATATAACGATCTGATCATGCATACACTGCAGTTGATAGACGCTTTATACTTACTCGAACATATAAAAGTCACGAATGCTTGCATATTGAGAAAGAAATGTGAACATTAGCCATACTTGTAGTGTAACCATTGGGTTTTATTGTTAATGGCATTACAGTATATAACGTGACTTACCTCCAGGCCCCGTTCCACAAAGCGATCTTATGGTTTCTTGCTTCAGACAAAACACAGTCAACCTGGACACGGCCCAGTTTTCAACAGCAACAACAACTGCTGTCTCCCCGGGGCGGTGGCGAATTAGTTGTGAGGTGACCGAGCATGCCGCGAGTAAGGCGATCAGAGTTACTTCCCTTGTATTGTCGCAAGCCGCGCACCACACTCCGAACTTAGCATAACACCACTGCCACAGGCTAATTTGCATATCCGTGACCGGACTTTTTCTTGTTTGTAAACAAACGTGAATTTTCAGAAATCAGAATAGAACGGACTCATGCAATTATTTTGGGGCGCTGTACATTTTGTTTTGCATAATTATATAAATATGCTACTACAACTGCGACAGTGAGTTGAATCACAATACATATTTACGCATCAATATGCCGTAGGGCTTCGGTGACAGCACGTGGAGCCGTACCACCAATGTAAACATAGGATAACTACGCAAATAGAAATTTTTCACGATTTAGTATATTTTCTCAGAGAAAGTTAACCATTCTATGACATATGTATTTATAATATCTAGATATGTAGAATTGTAGAAAAAAGAACAGATGGAAAACATAATTATGCAACACAATGCTGGTCGCATTGTATATGCTTATGAAGACATACGAGAATTACGAGCTAGGACATTCTTAGTAGGACCCGGTTATGTACAGCTCATAGTGTCTCTCCATAACGTTTCAATACAGGAGTGGGTTCGAATCCCGGTTCACCCCGATTATATTTCTATGTCTTTGGTCACAATACCCGTGCTCGTGGATTTCACCAAAGTGGTAAACGTCTGAGACCTGCATCACTTCGGGCTTCCCTCCCACATTAAGATGACATGCGGTGATATAACTGGAACACTGTTTAAAGCAGTGTTAAAACCCCACTCACTCACTCACTATCTCACTATCTCACTCACTCACTCACTCACTCACTCACTCACTTACTCGATCACTCACTCACTCACTCACTCACTCACTACAGGACCAACCCTCTAATTATAGAGCTGGTCAAAAATTAACTGAACTTAATAATGGTTCAGGTTCTTAATTGAAATAATTTCGTATTCATTATTGTTCATATTACACACCTGCCTTTTTCAGAATCCATGTCCTCATCAAAAATCGATTTACTTACTCACCATGCCAAACAACAACATTAGGCCACAACAAATTCATAGCTGTATATAAATCTTCTGATTCCGTTGCCCTAAAATTATATGTTGGTGGTCAGGCTCAGATTAGGCGCATTTACAATACCACTGACTCCATACCTTGCTTAAACAACGACGGAAATAGATATAAAAGGCTACAATTATCCGCAATGGCTTAAACGAGGAAGATCATATTTATGTTTTTGAATAGATGCATATTGTATTCCATTAGTTAAATTGAAAAATACCAGAGGAACGACAGGGAATAACTGATTATCAATGGAACACTTTTAACTCACAGGTGTTCGAGTAGATTGTCCTTTAACAGGGCGTACGGGTGGCCTAGTTAGCTGTGCTTAGCTGCTTGTCGTGGATGTGCCAGAAACCTATGATCGTGCGTTCGAATCCCGGTTCGCCCCGATGTTGTCTCAAGGTCTGTCAGCATCATACCCATACTCGTGGGTTTCACCAAAGTGGTGAATGTCTGAGACCTGGGATTTCCTCCCACATTAAGCTGACACGCCGTGATGCAACCGATATCCTGTTCAAAGTTTCGTTAAACCAAACTAACTCACTCGCTCACTTACTCACTCACTCTACGTGTGAACGGAGATATATCTGCTGTGGAAATTTAGAGATGTGTCACCACTGATTTGAAATCTCTAAATTATCCCATAAAATGTACAGGTATCAAATCAATTAGAGGTCTCAAATCTCAAATTGAAAACCCCAATAGGTTTATCTCCTCTACAACACATGTCAGAAGAACAGATGTTATCAGGCGTCAAAACCTGTTTCCTTTGTTATTTGAATCAATTTGTGCCGATGGAAAAACAATTTATTTGCTGTGGCCTAGGATGTACATTACGGTACATTATCTACATCCGTCTTGTCTTGTTTCCGCAGACGGGATGGTCGCCATCTTCGACGTCCGGAAGTGGTATCTTCTGCACTATCAGCCGACTTACCTCAGCAACCTACGCAGGCACTACATTGCTGCGGAGGAAATTATCTGGGACTACGGACCAACAGGCAGAAACTTATTTAATGGCGACTCACTCACCGAACAAGGAAGGTTGAATACAATGACGTTGTTACAGGCGTATCCTGTAACCAAACATACTGCGCTGTCGCTTTAAGTTGGATAACGAATGATGAAAGCAATGGCGGATATATAACGCAAACACGGATTAAACACGGAATAAACACGGAATAAACACGGAATAAACACGGAATAAACACGGAATAAACATGCATGCATCAACATGTAATTGATTTTACTCATGTAGCGTCTGCCCGGAGAGCGGGATCGATGCCGGGCCGTATCATACCAAAATATGCTAAAAGATGGTACATGTTGTTAACCTGCCTGTCGCTCTGCATTTAGGGGGTATGCTAAGAACTGGTCGGCTCGGAAGCTGTATACTGTGTTTGAGTGGGGTATTCTTGTTAAACAGCGGCGTGGTGTCTCAGTGGCCTATTACTATAAAACCGATTAGTATGATAATCAGACACACGCACGCACACGCGCACACACACACACACACACACACACACACACACACACACACACACACACACACACACACACACACACACACACGTGCGGTAGTTAGGGTATTCACCGGACACAGATCCGTTTCCTATACTTTAATATAGACTTAGGTGAGGTGAGGTGAAATGGGGTTTAACGTCGCGTCCAAGATTATTGCACTTATATAGCGACGTGCATGTACGTGTGTGTGTGGCTGCTTGTACTAGTCCGGACTGATGCCGATTTATAGTGCTAGCTCACTGAGATACCATGCCGCAGTTTAACATGAATACCCCACTCAGACACAGTATATTGACTCCGAGCCGACCAGTCCTTGTTTTAGCCCCTTAATGCCGAGCGCCAGACAGGGTAACAACAAGTGCCATCTTTTAACGTCCTTTGGTATGACGCGGTCGGGGATTGAACCCCGGACCTTCCGCTCTCCGGGCGGACGCTCTACCACTAGACCACGGAGGCGGTCTATAGACTTAGGTCAGTCTTAGCGCCACGATCTTTTTTTGTGAAACGGGCCCCAGGTTCGAGTCAGGGTGGTCCCTGCGGGGATGTGTATATACAACATGTTCTACTAATGTCCTGACACTGTTCCGGTAAGTGACTTCAGACCTCACCCCATCTTCATTTCAGTGAATCTGAAAAGTATTTCAAGCGAGACAACCACCACATTGGCGGAGCCTACAAGAAGGCCGTCTTCAGAGCATATGACGACTTCAAGTTCCAGACCAAGAAAATCCAAGATAGCCGCCAAAAGCATGACGGTTTTCTTGGTCCCGTGATAAGAATCGAGGTTGGAGATTTGGTTCAAGTCACCTTCAAGAACATGGCCAGTCGGCCGTACTCCCTGCATGCCGAAGGCGTGAAGTTCAGGAAGAACAGCGAGGGGTCCGAGTACAATGACGGCAGTGACGGTGAGAATACGGCATACTCGATTATCCAGTGTATCATATCTCCTTTTCATTCGGCTAAATTCCCTGGACCAATTCGACAACAAATTTTCATCTCGGACGTGACGTCAGCATTCAAATATCTCTTTTCCCTAACTTGGTGCAGAATTTCTCTCGCTTACAAGTGTACGGCTACATGTAGCGTCATGCTATTTGAATATGGCTCTTAACGAAGCTGTTATGGCCATTGGTTCAGGGTATTTATCGTTACAAATAGCAACATAATACACTGGGTAATCGAGGCGTTGTCATGGGTGGGCTCTTATTCTTGGTGTCCCACGCCAACATTCTGTCGGATTTTTGCTTAGACAACATATTATACAATCTTATCATTAGCTAATAATATGTGCTGTCCGTAAATAATATTAATAATGACAATAACAACAACAATAACAATAACAATGATAATAATAATAATGATGATGATGATAATACTCATCATCAACATCATCATCATCATCATCTTTGTTGCGATTGTTTAACATCATAGTACTTGAAGCAACAGATCCGTGTTGGCATGACTGAATCGAACCTAGGGACTGCCTGTTTGCCCTACCTGGTGTGTTTTTAATTCGCGTCGGCTACGTCCACGTCCATGCTTCCACACTGACACTGTCACGAACAGTAAGTGCAGCGGATATAAACACACTATATTATACAAGCTGGTGCAGCGGATATATACACACTATATTATACAAACAGGTGCAGCGGAAATATACACACTATATTATACAAACAGGTGCAGCGGAAATGTGCACACTGTATTAGAGAAGCAGGTGCACCGGAAAAATGCACACTGTATTAGAGAAGCAGGTGCAGCGGAAGTGTGCACACTGTATAAGAGACGCAGGTGCAGCGGATATATAGACACATTATATTATACAAGCGAGTGCAGCGGAAATGTGCACACAGTATTAGAGAAGCAGGTGCAGCGGTTGTATACACACTATATTATACAAACAGGTTTAAGGGATGTATACACACTATATTATACAAACAGGTTTAAGGGATGTATACACACTATATTATACAAGCAGGTTCAAGGGATGTATACACACTATATTATACAAACAGGTTTAAGGGATGTATACACACTATATTATACAAGCAGGTTCAAGGGATGTATACACACTATATTATACAAGCAGGTTCAAGGGATGTATACACACTATATTATACAAGCAGGTGCAGCGGATGTATACACACTATATTATACAAGCAGGTGCAGCGGATGTATACACACTATGTTATACAAGCAGGTTCAAGGGATGTATACACACTATATTATACAAGCAGGTTCAAGGGATGTATACACACTATATTATACAAACAGGTGCAGGGGATGTATACACACTGTATTATGCAAGCAGGTTCAAGGGATGTATACACACTGTATTATACAAGCAGGTTCAAGGGATGTATACACACTGTATTATACAAGCAGGTGCAGGGGATGTATACACACTATATTATACAAGCAGGTTCAAGGGATGTATACACACTGTATTATACAAGCAGGTGCAGGGGATGTATACACACTATATTATACAAGCAGGTTCAAGGTATGTATACACACCATATTATACAAGCAGGTTCAAGGGATGTATACACACTATATAATACAAGCAGGTGCAGGGGATGTATACACACTGTATTATACAAGCAGGTGCAGCGGATATAAACACACTATATTATACAAGCAGGTGCAGGTGACTATACATATACTACACAAGCAGGTGCAGCGGTTGTATACACACTGTATTATACATGCAGGTGCAAGGGATGTATGCAAAACATATTATACAAGCGGGTACAGCTTATGTATACACACTATATTATACGAGCAGGTGCAAGGGCAGTATACATACTATATTATACAAGCAGGTGCAAGGGATGTATGAATACTATATTTTACAAGCAGGTGCAAGGGATGTGTACACACTATATTATAGAAGCAGGTGCAAGGTTTGTATACACACTATATTATACAAGCAGGTGCAAGGTTTGTATACACACTATATTTTACAAGCAGGTGCAAGGGATGTATGTACACTATATTTTACAAGCAGGTGCAAGGGATGTGTACACTATATTTTACAAGCAGGTGCAAGGGATGTGTACACAATATATTATAGAAGCAGGTGCAAGGTTTGTATACACACTATATTATACAAGCAGGTGCAAGGGATGTGTACACACTATAGTATAGAAGCAGGTGCAAGGGATGTGTGTACATTATATTATACAATAAGGTGCAGCAGATGTATACACACTATAGTATAGAAGCAGGTGCAAGGGATGTGTGTACATTATATTATACAATAAGGTGCAGCAGATGTATACACACTTTAGTATAGAAGCAGGTGCAAGGGATGTGTGTACATTATATTATACAATAAGGTGCAGCAGATGTATACACACTATAGTATAGAAGCAGGTGCAAGGGATGTGTGTACATTATATTATGCAATAAGGTGCAGCAGATGTATACACACTATAGTATAGAAGCAGGTGCAAGGGATATGCGGCCATCACCTGTAAGACAGGGTAAGAAAATATCCTCAGATAAATACAATTAGTGTGCATTTAATATTTCCTTTTGTCTATTTATAGGTACTTGTGAACTTTTAGCGAGCGCAGTGAGTGTTGTCATGCATGGATGTCGGCTCTAAAGCGCCTTGGGCCTTCACACAATACTTCACTGAGATGTTTACAGCACATTTAACTTACACCCTTTTATCATGGCTTGCAAGCTGTGACAGAAACAATACTGAACGACATTCTAGGCGAAACCGACATTAGAGCGCGTTTTTAGTCGTAATTGTCACATGCGCCTTTACCAACATCTACCGTTACAGTTAGCAGATCAACAACACAAACATACTTCACGGAAATTCACCCGGAACCGTAATAGCGATGACGCAGACAGCTCTCCGTCTCAGAAACGAGACCGAGGTCGCCTACTCGCTAGTTCACTTGGACCCTTGGGCGAGCTACTTCGCCTCTACTGTCCTGTGTCAGCCGCTTGTGGCGAATCTTGTCAACATTCAGCTCTGTGGTGATGGAGTGTGTCAAGTTGGTGTCCTTGGTTCTTATTGTTTTATGCTGCACCTCCACCTGTTTTGGGGCAGAGCGGGTGTACTACATAGCTTGTTCTGAGGAGGTATGGGACTATGCCCCTGGGGGTGATGACTTAGTCAATCCTGTCGGGTAGGTAATTTGAAGCATATTTTTAAGGTTGTGCTTTTAGTCAAGTTTTCACACATCTATTCCCGAAAATGTTTCAACTTGGCTTTGTATATTTCACAGTAAATTTAAATGAGGAGATCAAATTAAGGAGTCTAATTCATTTCAGTCAATCTGTCTAAAACCCAGCTTCGTTTTACAGGCGATATGTATCGTGACTTTGAATTTGAGTCTGATTCAATTCATTATACATACAGGGACAGTCTTATCTTTGTTTGAATAACTGCCTAACGTAGGCAAAGCTGTAGAGAAGATCAAAGTAAACAACAGGAAATCACACCCGCAGTCTATGCAACCACCAGGTAGACATATGAAGGTATAGGCAGTTCTGTATGTATGTTGTTTATCTGTTTTGTGACGGGTTTGGTTGCATTTAAATATTCTTAATCGGGATGATTTGATATTGTTCAAAAACTATCAAATATCCCATTCCATTCCATTGATTTACCCACCTATACAAGAACTTAAAAAAACCCAAAGAAACATTATCATCTGTTTCATATTTAGATTTATGTATACAGATTCAGAGTGACAAGAAATGTCAAGAAGAGTGTTTGACAAGAGAGATGTCTTAAACTTCCAAATAGTCAACTTTCCCTTTATGTTTAGCACTATTCCTGCAGCTCCAGCCCTTAGTGTTTACATTTCACAAAATTTGTGACACATTCGGGTAAGCTCTTTCCCCCAAGATTTCAAAGAGCGTCCTCCGACACTAGCTTAATAGCATTTAGTGACTAGAACTAAATGCCTTTATGTTAGGCTTGGCACAGTTGCTAATATTATTACAGCGAAATACCTTCATTCCGTGCGGCTATGTGCCGTTTTGCATGGTGCCATCGTCTCTGGCCTAGATCCGCTCTTGGCACGTCCGGTAAAGGAGCGTTTGTTTATATTTTCTATGACCTGTTGTAGCGTGACATTAGCTCACGCAGCACTTGCTCTCCAGCTTTCAGCCGTACAACACATAGTTATATTCGCACATTCATCTATAGCTCATTGCTGTAGTCCACCAGTACCTCCACATCCGCGACCATTTCATCCAATAATATCTCTTGTCTTAATTTGAAGCTCCGCTATCATGCATGATGGCGGAGCCTGTCATAATGGAGCCATGTCCTTATATAAAAGTTGTTTAAACAAGGTTGCAACATTCAAGGTTCCAGTAAAGTTTTCAAAGTATTTGATGGTAGACATGTGGAGGACATTTCCAAATTCCACGCATCAGTGACCAAAAGGACGTCTCATACATAAACAGCCCATTCCATTCCACTGATTTAGCCACCGTAACTAGAAATAACAGAAACTAATGAAGCATCCTCATCTGTTTCGTATTTAAATTAATGTATACAGATTCAGAGTGACAAAATTATCCACAAGAATGTTCGACAAGAGAGATGTCATCAACATTCCGATAATGAACTTTCCCTTAAAGTAATGTCCTGCAGCTCAAGCGTTTGGTGTTTACATTTCACAACTTTTGAGATACAATCGAGCATGCTCTTCCTAACAAGAGTTCAAAGAGTGTCATACGACTCTTGCTCAGAAGCTGATTGATCAAGGTTACAACATTCAAGACGTATGGAAAACTTTCGAAACCTTTTATGGTAGACACGTGGAGAACATAAGTGATAAAACTGATATCTTATACGATTTCTTATTTGACTTGTATCATATGTCCTGTGTATGTTCAGGTGAATACTTGATTTGCCTTTGCATGTGTTTGTGACGGGTGCCATCAGTGAGGTATGATACACCCTACTTTTTCGCAAACACCTGGTATCATCACTATTTGGATTCATTGAGCATATGACATAGTCGGAATCGTATTAATGTTCCTCGTAGAGATTCAATGTGATTGTGAAAAGGGTTTTGTAGCTTTAATTCACGTTTAACCTTAACGCATTTGAATTGCATATGACATAAA